TAAAAATGGTTTATTTTCAATTTTGAATAATTAGAATACTTATAAATTAAGAAATATTTTATATATTTTTATGTTTACATTTTTATTTAGTCAATTGTTGTATAATACGAAGTACTTTAAAATATTTTAATAATATAAAATGACACTAATTCTCATTTTTGTAACTACAATATTTTCGAATTAGTTTTTCTAAATATTTTTAATTCTGTGAATTAACATCTTTCTTATTAATTTAAATAATAGATTGTTGTATTTAAAATGTTGAATTAATTAAAATTTTTTAGTATTTTTCTTAAGTTGTCAGAATTAATTGTTTTTACGATTGTATATAATTGATTTAAGGTAAAGTCTAGAAGAGACAAATGGTGTGAATGAATTAAAAATTTTGTGAATAATATTAATGAATATATGATTGTGAATATTCCGTACATTGTGGTGAAATTAATGCAAATAATGGAATTTTATTGTAATGTAAAAATGACGTGACATGACAAAGACAGACATATTTTTGAACTGTTTTATGATATTTTTAAACAGACAATTTTAAAGGCAACAACGCAATTTCTTTTACTTCCACGGCTGTTTTCTCTATCTCTACAAGTGTCAATTTAATTTTTAAAACTTTGTCCGAAATATTCAACCCTTAATGTCACGAAAATACCTGACTAATCAATGAAAATTTGTTTAGTACATACCAATTTCCTTTTTAAAAGATAAGCACTGCTTTACATGCAAAGAACCTGATTATTGCACAAAAAAAGGGCATCTCTCTTTCTCTTGTTTTAATGCGCTTCAACGTTATTATTTTCCACTTAATGGGTGTTAGAAAGGGTGTTTTGAAACCTTGAAAGTCTGTTGTATTACATGTATATGGCAGAAAGGCAATTTATTCATATTAATACCGAGGATTTTGGTATTTCTTCATTTGAAATTTTGGGAATGGAATTTTTGCACGAGAATTCTGCCTCCTTTAGGGTTTCAGAATGAAGAAATTATCCTTGATCTTCCACCCTTGAGACACACGAACGAGGGAAAATATTCCTTACCGCGAGATCTAATAAGTCCTTCTGTTTAAGTAAAGAAAGAAAGTTTAAAGAAAGATTTTTATTCTTTTTAAACGTATTGAAATCAATAAGAAAATTTGAAAATTGTACTTTGAAGAGGGGAGAGTTGTTGACAATTTTGGTATCATTTTGGAAGATTTGAATCTTTATAATTCGGGGTGTCTGACGTGTGAGAATTTATTTACAACAGAAAATTCTAGAAATTGACGGAAATTTTAAATATAAATGCAATTTGAAAAGTTTCATTAATTTGTAAAAAAAAAAAAAAATTTTAAGAACATTTATACTAAGCCTTATATTCTTAAACAAATTTTTAAGAAAACATATATCAGCAATCAAACTAAGTTTCAGTCTACATTTTAAGTTTTGATAAACATATTATAATTAGTTTTGCAGAGGAAATAAACAAACATATGTTTTACTTTTCTATGCACCAAATTTTGAGTTATATATGAATTAAAGAATATTTTTTTTTTTCATTTTAAAAGTATACCTGTTTTATGTATAACTTAAACTATATTAAATCTAGACAATTTCACTGAGATAAGAAAGTTGTTCTCTCATTAAGGTTTGAATAATGTTGAGAAAAATAATTGTTTTTAAGTTTATCTAAAATTTTAATATATCTAAAATTAAAATCTTTTCAATTAGGTACGATTATTTTAATCCTCATTTTAATTTTTATTGTTTTAATACTTAATTTAATATATTTAGAATATTAGAAATTAATAAATAAATCTGAGAATTCTAGAGTCAAAATTCACTGGACACCCTGCAATTTCGGTGAGACCCTTGCGAATTGTGTGTTCTACTTGGCATGGTATACCAATTGACAACAAACGACTTGACAAAGGAAAAATCAATTAGTTTGGATTTATTTTGCACGAGGTGACACGTTCTATGAACAAAACACCTGTGTTTTATTAATTATTTTTACAAAACATGACGAAGGACGAAAGGCCGGGTAGAACCATGCAATTGCTCGGAGTCAAATAAAATTAGCGAACCAATTTAAGGTTTTGATGCAATGGACGGTTTATTGGTTCTGGGAATATGTGACCGCGAGACCGAGACAAAAGGTAGAATGTTGATGAGGACGGCCTCGGCACGGAGTCACAGGGTAGTGGTGAGTCTGGCCAGTAATCACACTACTAGAATTAATAAAGGTGATGTGGATAGCATTAGCCGGGAGTCACGCTACAGAGGTCGGGAAAGACATGAGAACAAAAGGGCCAGTGTTCAAAAGGGTCGTCTCGTGGTTTCGTTCCCAGATAAGGTTGAGTGGCCGTCGCATTGATAAACATTCAAAATGAAAATTTGAATTGTAATAGGAAACTGGAATTTTCATAACTCTCTCTTCAACCTTTCAATTCTCCTTGTAAAATAAGAACATTTTTCTAATAGTTACATTCACCCGAATCCACCACCTGCGAACATGGCATGTGTTGCCTAGAGGTCAAGGGTGGTGAGGATGGGGATGGTGTTTGTCGAAATCGTGAAAAGTATTTTAACGTAAAGTGGGTATTGGTCCCTAATCAGAAAATTTACAATGTTATTTTAAATGCTTCCATAACTATAAGAGAGGTTGCTAAATAAACTTAGTTTTGAACTTCATTTTTAAAAAAGAAAAGCCCTTTCTTTATGACCGTTTTACTATTTGTATAAACGAAGACATTTTCTTAAGTCAGTGACATTTTTATAAAACCGATTCTGTGTCAGCAGGCTAACTACCTGCAATACAGGACTCTTTTTTTTCATCATCCTCTTTAAGGGGGAAGGGGGTGTCGAGCAACTGGGACTTGCTCGTACCATGTCTTTCAATTTTCACCTTTTTTCCCTTCTTTCTTACCCCCTCAAAAATTTTCACTGTGAAAAAGTAGAAAAGAAAATTATTTCTTTTGATGTTCTGTATGAAATTATTTTAAAAATTATGGAATATTTACAGTAAAATAAAAAGAAAATTTTCCTTTCATTTTTAGATCTTCTCTCCTATTCTTGAACTTAAAAGACAAGTTAGAATCAATCTAATAATTATATCTCAATTTTTGTAGTTATGATTGTTTCAGAAAATAAATTTTAGGTTATTATAGACAAATTTAAAATAAACAAAAAATTTTTAAATACCCAAGCGAAATTTCTTTTATAATTTTCTTGCGAAAATTCTCTTTAAGGGGGAAGGTGTTACGAGCGACTACCATCTCGCTCGTTAACTTTCGATATATCGATTCACGAGTTATCGAAGCGCGAAATTATAATATTTCGTTAATAAACTTAATTATTTTTAGTATTTTCTCACGACTTTAGACAAATATTGACGAGACTAAACAAGAAAGTTTGGCTATTGTAAAATATAATACTTCACGGTTTAATAGTTTCCAAATTCTGAATATGTATTTGAAAATCAACATTTCTTAGAATTGCCATAAATCAAGTAGAATAGCGAAAGAAAATGTAATCTCTAGTTTCTTTAGAGTCATAAAACCGAGAAACCCTCGAAAGAATATAAAAAATATCTCAAGTGTCCTTTTCCATAGGACAATGCAACATGTGTTTACCATACTTGTGACCACAGAAATGGCTTTGAAAAGTCACGTACACATAGACTTTCATTATGCGACGAACCTTAATTATCAATTGTATAATATGAACGTTATGAATAATTAACAACAATATTATATTGTTGCTAATTGTGCAGTATGAATGTATTATTTGAAAATGATATTATTAGTAAACTTTATCTGATTTATTGTTGTAATATTATAGTATATATGTGTATATTAGTAACGTATTAATATAATAATAATATTATATTATGATACATTATCAAATTGGTTATCGTTATAATTGTTGTTTATATTTAAATATGATGAGTGCAGTATAAGAGATTTATTGTTACTAGATATGATGTAAATAATTAATAATTGTGTAATTAGTGTGAATGCAAAAGGATTATGTTCACTTGTTGTGATACATGTTTTCAATACATAGAGTATGTTTATACGTGTATTAGTGCAGTGCAGTGTTAGTGTGGTGATTCTAAAAACTTCATAGACTTTACAAACTCTATAACAGGGCATGCGCAAAGATTATGCCATGGACCAAGGGATAAATGCTCCCTCACGAATTCAGTTCTATTTTGGAGTTCTTTCGTAACGGACTTCAGAGTAGTCCCAAAAATAGCCTTAAGAATAACTTCGACTTGTGTAATGTTTGACTTTAATATATAATAAATGTATTGGGTTTACTCGTGAAATGAGTCGGATTAATAATTAATTGATATTAATATTAATTATTAATTGATCTTTCTTATTTTCGAGGTTTTTCCCTCCGTTTTAACGGAAATTAACTTGTTTTATTTTGAATATTTCCGCCTTCCTTTTCAAAGGATTAAACCAAGATTGAACATCGAATCAAATCGCGGATTTTACGCCTGCGCGTAAATAACGTAAATCCGCACGTAACAGTGGGAGATTTTTAAATTTCATTTTTAATATTGTGGTGGAAAAAAAGTAAATTAAAGATTGTTACAAAAAGATTTAAGAGAAAATTGTTCTTTAATAGGCGAAAAATCAAAATACGGAAATGCAAACTTTGGAAATTTTTTTTTCTATACTGAAATTAAAAAAGCAAAGTTTCTGTAATTAAAAAAATTCGAATTTTTGCGCTTAAAATAGCGCCCTCTTTGAAATAAGAAACATGCTCGTTTTACAGACATTTCATTGGTTAATTCCGTTCATTCTCATATTTCCATAATGTGCAAAATATTTTATTTAAGTTAGTCATTACAATTTATAAACAAAATTATGAATATTTATCGAATTTTTTATTATTTAAAAAAATGTATAAAGTTTATTTAACTACTTAAATTTTAATTATATTATAAGTTTGGAAATATCCCGCTAGTAAAATTAGCCAATGAGAATTTGTCTCAGCAGAACTTTAAAAATGGAGTCGAAATTTGTTGACATTTTAAAAATTGAATTACCTGGAATCGTTGAATCAAAACAAAAATATAGATTATTTTCTTGTGATAATCTGCTTATTGTGAATTAGTCTGTCGAACAGTCGATGAGCAATATTTGGAGAAATTAGTTTTAAATTTCCAAATTAGTACTGCAATTGATTATTTTCTTAGTTCTAACTGTCAAAAGAGTTAAAATTGAATCAAGTGTTTGTTGAAACGTGCCGAACGTGCCAGAGGTAAACAAATCTAATTGTCATTGAATATTTTAAAAAATATAAACCTTCTTGAAAGGAATTGAATAGTCTAAAAAATTAATTTTATTCAAAGGAATTGAATACTGTAAAAAATAATTTTTATTCAAAGGAATTGAATATTTAAAAAAATGGGTTGCCGCAGGTCAGGAAAAGCAGGAAAAAGTCAGGGATTTTTATTAAAATTAGTGGAAAAAATTTAATTTTTAGAGTTTATAAGAAAATTCTGAATTTTGGTGTCTTTTTTGTTTATCTCATAAACTAGGAAATTACCACGAATTCTAATACAAAAACTTCAATTTATTCTATTTCTGACAATAAATTTTTTTTTAATAATTCTTCCCAAATATTTAATTGTATTAAAAATTTTTTTTAAATTCTCGTCAAAATTTTAATTATCTTTAAAAATAATAAAATTCTTCTTTAAAATTCAATTATTTTTAAAAATAATAAAATTTTTCTGTAAAATTCAATTGTTTTCCAAAATTTTAATAAAATTCTTGGCAAAATTTCAATTATTTTCAAAAATTTTCCTCTATTTAATGATTTTCAATATCTACTATTTTAATAAAATGTTCCAAAAGAACTCAATTATTTAAGAAAATTTTAAATAAAATTACGCAAACATTAAATTATTTTCATAAATAAAAATTTCACAAGAATTCAATTATTTACAAATTCTTTATAAATTTCTTTGCAATAATCTAATTATTTTCATAATATTTTTTCCAGGGATTCAATTATTTTCAAAAATAATAAAACTCATCACAGAATTTCAATTACTTTTTTAAAACAATTTTAATTGAATTCCTCGAAAAATGGAATTATTCTTAAAAATTTTATTAAAATTCTTCGAATAAATTCAATTATTTAAAAATTTGTTCAAAAATTCTTTATGAGAATTCTATTTTGAAAAACATTCAATTATTCAATAAATTATTTATTTTTGTATTTAAATAATTTAATGAATTTAATTAGAAATTTTAAAGAACTGAGATTTATGAAAAATTTTAATAATTCAAATTCTTCTGAAATTAGGTAGTTTTTGTTAATATATATTTAATTTATTATTAAAAATAATGGATTTATAAAAGAATTTTAATTAAAAACATTTTTAAAAAATTGAATTCTGTGAGAAGTTACAAATTATTGCTGAAATTCAATTATTTTCAAAAATAATCAAATTCTTCGCAAAAATTAAATTCTATGTTCAGAAATTTTAATAAAATTCTCGTCAAAATTTCAATTATTTTTAAAAATACTTAATAAAATTCTTCTCTGAAATTTTCAATTATTTTCAGAAATTTTAATAAAATTTTTGGCAAAATTACAATTATTTTCGAAAATTTCCTCAATTAAATGATTTCTGATATCTATAGTATTTTAATAAAATTTTCCAAAAGAATTCAAATATTTAAAAAAAATTTTAATAAAGTTCTACGCAAACATTAAATTATTTTCATAAATAATAAAATTCTTTTCAGGAATCTAATTGTTTTTAAAAATAATAATAATACTCATCGCAGATTTTCAATTATTTTTAATACATTTTTAATCGAATTTCTCAAAAAATGTAATTCTTAAAACTTTTATTAAAATTCGTCTAAATAATTTAATTTAAACATTTTTTTATTAAATTATTTGTAAGAATTCAATTTTAAGAAATATTCAATAAATTATTTATTTTTGTATTTAAATAATTGAATTTTCTTAGGATTTGCTAATAAAATTTGGTCTAAGAATAAATTTTAGATAATAATTGAATATTAAAAGCATTAAGCTAGAATTTTTAAAAATAATTTAATTTTAAAAATGTTTTAACTTCAAATCTTTGAAAATCTGAATTGTTCATAATTTTAATTAACAAGTCTGTAGAATTGCGAAATTTCGCAAAATTCAACTGTAAAAAACTGGATTTGAAAATTATCGAAGAACTTTTTCAAAAATTATTAAAAATAATCTTCTTTAATTATTAGAAAACATGAAAATATCGATTGCTCCGAGTCGAAGACTCGGAGTGATCGATATCTTCATGTTTTATAATAAAAATAATAATAAAAAAAAATATTTTTATAAGTTGTTGAAATTCAAAAAGATTTGAATTTCAAAATCTCAATTTCTGTTGGAAAATAATAATGATTAAATATTTTATTTAAAAAAAATGTTATTGATGTTTTCGAATAATTTTTCTACACTTAAAATTAAAATAAATAAAAAATTATTACTCATTGTTTTCTTTTTAATTATAGGTGGGATTTTATTGTCACAATGGATGATATAATTGTTCTCAGCGATTCCGAGGATGAATCGGTCGCTGTAACTCAACCTTTACCTGCTCGATTTAATAATGTTGATGATGATTTTGATTTTCCCGAAGTTAATTTTTGCTATGAGAAAAATAAAAAAGAAACTTATGTAGATTCAGCTTTTGGTTCCTTTGAGACAATCGAGAGTAATAGATTTATTTCAAGACAAAATTCAGGACTATCGTCGGAGGGTTCACAAGATTCGGCTATAAATATTGCAACTAGTTCCAAAGCGAAAAAAGCGAAAATCGCAAATGAAAAGAAACTGGAACGCGAACGCAAAAAAGAAGAAAAGGAAAGACAGAAAGCACAAAAAGCTGTGGATAATAAAAATTCGAAAAGCATGCAACCTAATGAGTGTATAAAGTCGATGCGAATCATCATCGATGGAAATTTACAAACTCAACCCTATTTTAATAATTTGATTTCTAATTTGCAGAAAGATGAATTAAAATTCGTTGTTGATTCACAGCCAATTCAGTTTAGTATCACTTGGAAGAGGGAGACGGAGGAGCATTATCTTAATCAAAAAAATGAACAATGTTCGTGGAAAAGTTCAAAGGATGAAAATGAATTGCTCATCATTTGGAATTGTAAGGATGTTTTGAATAAAATTGCAGATTCAACGTTTATTGAAACAATTGGCAGTATTGTTGAGTTTGACAGGAAGAAACGAGTGACGCTTTTTATTTATGGAATGAAGGAATATTTTGCCTATCATAAAAATTTGAAGACTAGTCTTAATCGAATTGGAGTGATTGCAGAATTGGGAGAAGATGAACCAATGAGAAAGCAAAATAAGAAGGATAGACTTTATGGATCGGCGCCAACGATCAGCAAAAGTGATTTGGATGTAAATCTCTGTGAATTGCAAGTATTGTACAATTGTTCGAGTCGACTTATCAATTCCCAGGAGGATTTAAGTTTGGCGATATATCAATTTACGAAGGCAATTGCTGAAGCACCGATGAAATTGGAGAAATATAAAAATTACGATTTTTGTACCGACTCTTCGAATTCAGTGGCAGTGAATAAAGATGGCATTGGATTGAAGAGCTTATGGCAACAAATGCTGTGTCAATTTGATAATTGTAGCTTGGTAATTGCTGAGGCGATTTGTCGAGTTTATGAAAGTCCTGTTCAATTGATGGAAGTAGGAATTTTAATTTAGATACTTTTCAATTTAAAACAGGGTGGCCACATGACAGTAAAGTCAGCGAAATAGAAGTAAAACAAAATTTTTGTCAGTAAAGTCTTTGACAATTTTCAAATCCATTTGTTTACAATATTCAATTTTACGAAATTTCAATTATTCGTAAATTCTTCAATTAAATAAATATATATTAGAAAATAAAAACTTAAAATAATATAAAAAAAAATTTTAATCAAACTTTAAAAAAAAAAAATTAATTTCAAAATTCAATTATATTTCTAAAAATTCATATAGTATAATGATTTTAATATTCAATTATTATCTGAACTTTTAACTGAAATTCATTTTTAAATCGATTTTTAATAGAAAATTCAACGAGAATTCAATTATTGAAATACAAAAATACAAAATTTATTGAATAATTCAATATTTCTCAAAATTGAATTCTCATAAAGAATTTTATCAATAAATTTTTAAATAATTGAATTCTTTTGAGAAATCTTAATAAAATTTATTAGAATAATTACATTTTTTTAAAAATTCAGATTTTCAAAGATTTGAATTTAAAACCTTTTCAAAATAAAATTATTTTTAAAAATTCATAGTATAATGCTTTTAATATTCAATTATTATCTAAAATTTATTTTTAGACCAATTTTTATTAGCAAATCTTAAGAGAATTCAATTATTTAAATACAAAAATAAATAATTTATTGAATAATTGAATGTTTCTGAAATTTGAATTCTTATAAAGAATTTTATCAATACATTTTTAAATAATTGAATTCTTTTGACAAATTCAATTTCTGCGAAGAATTTTATTAATTTTGAAAATAATTGAATTTCTGCAATAATTTGTAACTTCTCCAAAAATCAATTATTTAAAATGTTTTTAATTAAAATTCTTCTATAAATCCATTAATTTTAATAATAAATTAAAATTTAAATACAAAAATAAATAATTTATTGAATAATTGAATGGTTTTAGCAATTTGAAATCTTATTAAGAATTTTATCAAAAAATTTTTAAATAATTGAATTCTTTTGACAAATTTTAGTAAAACTTTTAAGAATAATATTATCTTTTTCGAGAAATTCGATTAAAATTGTATTAAAAATAATTGAAATTCTGCGATGAGCGAAAAAATTTATAAAAAATTAGTAAATAATTGAATTGAATTTTTGAAAATAATTGAAATTTTGCCAAGAATTTTATTAAAATTTTTGAAAATAATTGAATTTTGGAGAAGAATTTAATTATTTTTAAAAATAATTTAAATTTTGACGAGAATTTAAAAAAAATTTTAAACATAATTGAATTGCAAATTTTGAATGAATTATCAAAAATTTTTAATAAAAAATTTTTAAACGTAAACTTAAAAATGAAAATTAGTGAAAATTACCTTCTAATTTTTTAAAACTTAGTATTTTCAGTACCTACTTTCAATTACGTATTTCCGAAAGTTCAAATACATTTTAGAATTTATTTTTTACATTTTGGAGAAAAAAATATTTTTAATTAAAATTCATCATAAAATTAATTAGTTTTCTTTTAAATAATACAAAAACTCTTTTAAGAAATTCAATTCTTTTCGAAAAATTACATTAAAATATTTTTAAAAATAACTTAATTCTTAGAATTTTTTTATCATAATTTTTTAAGATTTAATCATCTTCGAATAAAGCAAATAAAAATTTACTTTTTTGACTTATTAAAATTTCGGAGCAATCATGATTATATTTATAATTAAAATTCTTGAAAAATTTGATTATTTTTATGTTTTGAAAATATTATACCTTAATAAATTGAAGAAAGAAACATGGACAGTTACGACTCATATAAAAAATTGAATTTTCGTATTTAAATAATTTAATTCTCGAAAAACTTTCGTAAAACTATTTAATAATTAATTTAATAATTGATTTCACAAATTTTACTCATTTTTCGTAAACTTTCATATTTTCCTGTAAAAAGAAGTTTGTTAGAGATAATAATTTTGATGACAGCAAATTGTCATGGGAAATTGATAAACTGAAACCTTGTGACCACCCTGTTAAAAAATTATTTCTTTGACTCTAATATCAAATGATAATATTTCTTTGAAAAACAAAAATAAATAAATTAATTGTTTTTGAATCAAAGAAATTTTTTATTTTAATTTGTATAAATTATAGTATAAATCTGGGAATCATTAAGAAATTAATTTTCGATTAATTAAATCGAAGAAATTTGGTCAAAGCAAGTAATTATTTTAAATTAACAAAAAATTTTTTCTAGATGTACTTATATAAAATATGTATTTTTTTAGGCTTATTCAACATGCACACCGAAGGAAGGAGAAATGCTACTGAAAGATATTCCTGTAAGTATTTAAAAATTTCAATAATTATTCTTTCTCATTTGATGAGAGTGTTAAAAAAAATAAAAAAATTTATTAAATGAAAATTTCTGTTTTTTTTAACGTAACAGATAAGAAGAGCAGCTGGAACTATTACTAAAGCGCAAAAAATTGGACCTCAAAAAAGTAAAAGAATTTATTTGATGTTTACAACCGAGGATGGTGAAGTTTTACTTGACCTTAACACTGACAATAAAAAGTAAAGACATTTTTTTATATGTATTATTATTTTATTTTTATTGTTCAAGGTGTGCAATTACATGATCGCAAAACTATTTCCGTTATACATTGATAATATAACTTTATAATCGCACTTAACAAAGTTTATTGTTTAAATAAGAAAGAATGTTTTTTTTTGAGCTTGAAAGGATTGAAAATATACAAAGTGTTTTTTTTTACAAATTTGTAAAAATAATTTGTAAAAACTGAAAAAGAGATTAAAATTATATAATTGTAATAAATATTAACAAATTATTAAATTATAGTTTATTGATTAAATTGACAAATTATTAAATTATAATTTATTATTTAAATTGATAAATTATCAACAAATTTTTCTTTACGTTTTATCTGCGATTTGGTGAAGTTCACAATGTTTTGTTCTTTTTTTTTACGAATTTACGATCAACGATTTAAAAAAAAAAATAAAATTTTTCTTGACGAGAAGAAAATGTTTATTTTACAAATTTTTCTGTTTTAAATTATTGGTCAGAAACATAGCTTATAATAATAAATAGTTTATTATAATAATTTTTATACAGAAATATATAAAAGTTTGAACAGAATTGTATTCAAATTGTTGATTGTAAACTTCGCCAAATTGTTTGGAAGAGAAATAAGTGATTGAAAAAAAAAGTTATGTTCTTTCTAATAATTAAAAAAAAACTAATTATATACATTAATAACGTGAATTAATTTGTTTCCAAATAACTCATTTTTTCGTTTATTAATATCTTATGTGTATCACTTTTACTTAACCATTCTCTAAAAAATATAAATTCAGTCTCTAATTATAATTTCGCTTCTACAGTATACAGAATCATAAAATCGTAAAACTCGTAAACTATCGTTTTTACAAATGCTAATTATATTTTGAAATTATTATGCTGAATGGTATAGTTAATTTCTAAAGACTAGTTTTTAAAAAAAACTGCGTCTTTTACAAAAATATCGTGAACATTTTTTTTATAGTGGTGAAAAATGCTTAAAGCCCTGTTTTAGTAACTTCTTTGAAATATTTTGCTTATTTATTTACTATTTTATTATTATTATTATACTTATTTTATTCCCCGTCGCTTATAAATGAAATGCAGTAAAAGCATTATTTGACATTTAAAATGAACACAGTAAATATGTTTATACAAACGCTTATTTTCTATATTGAAACAAAAAATAAATATACATTTTGAGGAGAGGTAATTTATGTTTGAAAATTTTTTACAAGAAAATTAATATAACTCTCAATAATATAAAATTATGATCGACAATTTTTTAAGGTTCAAATGAACGAAATATTAACTTTTTTTTCAAAAAGATATTAAAATTTATTGTTTTTAGTGACAAAATTTTTATCTGAAGGAGAAATAAATAAATTTCGTTTATTTGAACCTTTTGGAACTTTCGTGTGTGTTTGTGACTAAATAACTTAATGTTAATTCTATAAATTAAATAATAGCCAAGAACGAATTTTTTTTCTAACTTTCAGTCTTTAAAAATGCAGCTTATTTTAACGCGTAGACCCGCTACATTATTTCTAAGAAAAGTAAATTGAAAATTAAATTTACATTTTCTATTTGGATAATTTTTTGTCATTTTAGGAAAATTAATTCGAATTCGATTTTCTTTAAAAATTCAATAAATTGGTGGTTAGCAACTTGGGAGGAAAAAAAATAGATTCAATTTCTTTTTATTTAGGAATAAAAATAAAAAATTTCATTTTCATTGAGAAAAGAAATTTTTATTGTGAATAGAATTTTTTAATTGAGAAATAATTCAGAATTAATACTGATCTCTTCGTTTTGAATTGAAGGATCCTGAAATAATGAATCGACAACTTCTGTTGTATTGATAATTTTTCGTTCGATAATATTCGGTTTAATTGCCTCTTCAATTTCGAGGAATTCGTCGTCGAAATTATTAATAATTTTTGACGCCGAAGCGTGCTCATTTTTATTATTATCATTATTGTAAATTCTTTGTGTGGAAAGTTTTTGATTTGTTTTCGTCAATATTACCGGTTGTTCTCCTTTATCTTTGTGAGCAATATTCGAAAGAGAATTTCTCTTGGCGAGAATAATTTTTGTATATTTCACCGTTGATTCATTGGAGCGACTAGAATTTTGTAACGGTGGACTAGAACGATTTGATATGACTGGATTTTGATTTTTCGGTTGAAGGAGAACGTGATTTAAATTTTGTTTGGGAAGACTTTGACGGAGAAATGAATGTTTTTGAGAAGTTATTAATTTGCCGGGTTGAGATTTATCTTGTTTGTTACTTATGAGAACGACTTTTGTTGGTCCTAATTTTGGATTTCTTAATGGTAGTTGCGCTGGTTGGGGGGGATTTTCCAAAGTATTTGGAATTTGATTTTGTGGTAGAATTGGAGATTTTTCGATTGAATTTATCGTTTCGCCGTCCTTGGCAAATATTATTGGAATATCGAGAATGTTACCCAAATCATCGTTGAGGAAATTTGAATTTGTTGTATTTGTTGTTTCTTGTTTTGGTCTTGGATTTCTTGATAAATTATTAGCAGTTATCTTTGGAATGATCTTCACTGTTTTCTCTGAATTCTTCATTTTTGTTGTGAAGGGTAAAATAGTGACGGAATTTTGACCAGATGATGAAATTTTCGTCTTGCAGGAATTTTCCAATAATACGAGATTGTTGGTGTTTGGTGGATAAATTTTGTTTGATTGACTCGTTTGTCGAGATGATATTTCTTTTGATGATGATGACGACTTGGAATTCTTTTGTAGATAATCGTTTGGATTTACTGGTCCATAGCTGTCCATCACTATAAATAAATAATATATCCGTCTGAAAGATTTTTTAATAATAAAAATATTCGAGCTTTCGTTTTCAAAGCCACAGTGGCTTTGATTTTGCTCTTATAAGAAAAAAGAAATAAGATCTTTTACTTACATTAAAATTAAATGTAATATTTTCTAGTGAAGTTATTTTTTGTAGGATAAAAAATAAGTAAAAATTTACCTTTCAATTTTTGCTGATTCTGTATTGATAAAAACCACTGTGAGCTTTAAGTCAAAAGATCGAGTTTGTTGATAGAGAAAGAGATAGAAAAAGATAGAATTTTTTTTTTTATGAGACAAAAAAGAAACTGATTCCTGAGATTAACATTTTCCTTGAATAGGATACAGGATAGGAATTGAAAAAAATTTGAAGTATAAGAAATAGTTTTATTTAACATAAAATATAAGTTTAGAATTTATATATTTACAGATTTGATTTAATTTAAAGCCAAAAGACACAATTTCATTTTTCTTTTCTATTTTGTTTTTCATCACAATTTGTAGTGATTGTCGTCAAAAAAATTATTTACAAACGCTCTTTCTTTTTGTAATTCACTAATACTGTATGTACATAAAATACGATATTTAAAAAAACGTAGTAAATACTCGAAAAAAATATCAAGTGATTAACAAATTTTCCAGTGGTTGTACAATTTTTAAATTATTTAAATTATTTACATTTAGTTGTTATTCTTGTTTTTATTGGCAAAATAAAAATTTCTAATTAAATGAGTGTAAAACTACTTTTTCTTACTCAAAAATACTATGGAATTAAAAAATAATTTTCAATACATTTTTCATTATTTAGAAATAATAAACATTTTTTATAAAAACTTGTGACTATAGTGTACTTAAAACTTAAGTATTAAGATTATTTTTCAAAAAAATAGTGCAAATATTAATTAATTGAAATATTATATTGAGTTCACTAGATCAATATTTTTATTATCAATGAAATTATTTTAGACATTCAAAGCGATTTTTCATTTGCTTTAATTTCACTCATTTTTTGTATAAGCATTTGATATTTAAATTTTTCTTTTTTGACATACTTTCCCAGAAAGCAAGAATGACGCTAACAATAAAGGATTAATAACAATTCAACTACTTGAAAATCTTAAATGATATTTAAAAAAAAATAACAGACATTTAAAAATATTTTACGTTATTGCCAGGACGTGCAATAAAATTGCAAAAAAGCGTTTCTTTGATATATAAAAAAATAGAATGGTATATATAAAAAAATAAAAAAAATTCTACTCTCAAAAATCTAGCACAGTTTTCGTTCAATCATTTTTTTGTTAAAGGATTAGATATAAATATTCTACCTTTTGAAGGTGCGACTGGTGATGATGTGGGTGTTACAGTAACGCTAGGAGTTAATAGGACACTAGATGTAATTGGTCTTCCACCGATGCTAATTGTATTTTTTCCACTTTGCAAAAGAGCTGATAGAGCTCCGCTTGTGCTGGAAGGTTTTACTTGCGGGACTGTGAACAGAAAATATTTATTATTTATAATATAAAATGTTGTACAACTCAAAAATTTTTTTTCATATTTTATTATTAATTACTTACTTTTTATTATTATTTATTACTTTTTTCGAAAGAATTTCATATCAATATTAAATTAATCAATTGTTGATAATATATTAATATTAATATTTACTATTATTAATTATTAATATTAATTAGTAATTTTAATTTAAAAATCAAAATATTCAATACAATTATTTAGTTTAAATAAATTTTATTAAAGTTAAGTGTTCATAAATGATTAATGAAAATTCTAAGTACCTGTAATTGAAGAAGAGTTGGATTTTAAGTGACTTCCTCCTAGAATACAAAAAAAGGAAACATTTGATTTAACAAGTTTTAGGTATTTTAGGTATTTTTTTTTATTTTTTTCATTAGAATCAGGGTTGCTACAAAAATATTAATTTTCTTGCCACGACTTTTCCTTGATTTTCAGACAAAATTTTGACATTTTCTCTGAGCCTAAAGAATTTTCTGATTTACTCCAAAAATTATTAGATATTCAAAAATGTTTTATTGCATTTATTCGAAAACATTTAACAATTGTTGACAATTTAATTTTACGAAATTTTAATTATTCGGAAATTTTTTAATTAAATGTGTATTAGAAAATAAAAACTTTAAATAATTCCAAAACAATTAATTCTACAGAATTGTTAATTAAACGTATGAAAAATTACTGGAAAAGTTTTATTATTTGTGAAAATAATTAAATGTTTGCGTAGAATTTTTAAAAACTTTTTTTAAATAATTAAATTCTTTTGGAAAATTTTTGAAAATAATTGAATTTTTGCCAAGAATTTTATTAAAATTTTTTTTTAATAATTGAATTTTGGAGAAGAATAAATTTTATTATTTATAAAGATAATTAAAATTTTGAAGCGAATTTTCGAACATAATTGAATTTTTGCGAAGAATTTTATAATAATTTTTGAAAATAATTAAATTCCTCTAAAGAATTTTATTATTTATGAACATAATTGAATTCTTTCGAAGAATTTTATTGTTTATGAAAATAATTGAATTTCTGCAAAGAATTTTAATAAAAATTTTTAAAAATAATTGAATTTCTACGAAGAATTTTTTTATTTATGAAAATAATGGAATTATTGTGAAAAATTTATAAAAAATTGAATTCTTGTAAAATTTTTATTATTTATGAAAATAATTAAATGTAAAAATTTTATGATAGTTCTTCAAGAATTAAGTTATTTAAAATAACATAAATTATTGTCAGAAATAGAAAATATTTAAGGTTTTGTATTAAAATTCGTGGTCATTTTATAGTTTATGAGTTTATTTTATAGTTTTATAGTTTAATTCAGAATTTTTTGATGAATTCTAAAAATTTAATTTTCCAGTATTTTTAATAAATATCCCTGACTTTTCCCTGATTTTTCTGACCTGTAGCAACCTCGAAATGATGTTAAACAATTTTTAAACACTTAAAGAAAGCTAAAAGTACTTTGAAATTATTTTTTCTTTTGCATTTCTTTGTCAATTTCAAATGATTAAAAAAAATGTATTAAAAATTGTTTAAATTTCTAAAGAATGGTATAATATTTTTACTGTATCCAAAAAGTTAGTTTAAAAATAGAAAAGATGCAAATTCTCACCAGCCATTGAAACAGTTTTCATCTTTCCAATATTTGGAGTTCCTGGTTGCATTAGTTTTGGACTTTTTTGAAGAGCAGTAGGAGTTTTTGTCATAACTCCCGCTTTCGTTATTCCTGGAGAATTTTGGGATACGATATTACCAGATGTGAATTTCATTGGTCCTGCAGGTGACAAACTTGCCAGGGAGCCAATATTTAACGTTATTCCACCGTTTCCACTGTTTATACTTTGCTGTAAATTAATTTTATTGTGAAAAACTTTTTCTAAAAATGTATTATTTTCAATATTTTAGTGACAGGCTTTTATTTATTTATTTTTTTTATTTATTTTCTCTTACCTGAGACATTAGCCTTGATGAAATAAGACTTTCGGGGAAATTCGCCCTCTGATTAGAAACAACGCGAGGTTTTCGCTTGACAGCTGGCGGTAGATTAACAGTTGTTCCACTGACAGGTAAATTCGTCAGATTCGTTGTCAAATTTGGCAAATTTCCCACACGCGATACAGAAGCAGAGGCAATAATTTGTCCCCCGGGAACAGTACTCAAAACCGGTGTACCTGGTCTTGATTTTTTCACATTTGGCGAATTTGGTTCACTTTCGACAGAACTGCTCGTTGAATTTCTCCTCTTTCGACAATCCTTTTTATTTCGACCGTCTAGATTCGCCAGGGTGGCAGGTCTCAGAGGAAGGGGATGCGGTTGCAAAAGAATGCTACCAACAAAATCGCCGATCTCATCTAGAATACAACGATCGACCATACTCTGTGTGACGCCTTCGGATATTTTCTTAGCCGTTGAAATTCGTAGATGATCGTCCGCCGTGCCAACGACAACGAGACTCGTTTCCACCAACATTTTCTCGCGAAGATCTTCTAAATCGTCGGGACGCACTAGAGTTGCATTTTGACCAACTACGAACATAACGGGACATCGTATATCCATTAGAGTATCGTCCGGCGATCCTCTCTTGCCTTCCACGGTATTAAATGGAAAGCCGAGACATATTACTGCTGTCACATGCTCCATTTGCGCTATCTGTTGATAAAAATGTGGGTAATTAGTGAAATTTTGTTAAAAAAGAAATAGGGGAGTTTTTTTTTTGAATTTAGGTACCTGACAAGCCAAAGCAGCTCCTGTATTGAAACCCATGAGAATTATCGGCCTACCGGGACAATCAGATCTTACTTCTTGTAATTTTGTTCTAGTGGCTTGCACAAGTTGATCCATGCAAGTCATCATTGTCATCTTTGTTGCTGACAATCCTGAAGGCACAAAAACACTCACAACCATTCCCAATGCTCCCAATTGTGAAACCCATTTTAGTTGTCTCGAAGATGAATTGTTTCCCATTGTGGAAGGCGCAATCACCAAAATTGGATTGCCTGGTAACTTTTTCTATTTGGAAGAAAAATTGAAAAATTAGTGTTTTTTGAATGCTGTTCGTTATTTGTTTTTGACAGTTTCCCGCAAAAGAAAGTTAAAGCAACAAAAAATGATAGACTAGGTTTAAAAAAGATTTTAATTTTCATTATCAAAAAAGAATTTTCATTATTTATTTTATTAGGGTTCCCACAAAAATTTGAGTTTATTTTTCCCTGATTTTCAGTCAGAACTTTAACATTTTCCATGACCCTAAAGAATATTTTTTTGTTTCCTAACTTTTTTAATAATTTTTCTTTTTAAATATTTTCAATCTTAAAATTAATGTATTGAAAATCATTGAATTCTTGCAAAGATTTTAGATTTAGAAAATAATTGTATTCTTTCGAAAAATTTTATTAAAAATTAAAGTAAAATTTAATTGTTTCGGTGGATTTATTCAAATTTTAGAGAATAATTGAATTTTTTCGAAAAATTTTATTAAAAATTAAAGTAAAATTGAATTGTTTCGATGAATTTATTGAAATTTTAGAAAATAGTAAAATTTTTTCGAATAATATCATTAAAATTTTTTTTTTTAAATTGTATTAATTGCACATTCAATTGTTTACAAAGAATTTTATTATTTATACAAATAATTGAATTATTTTGAAAAATTTTATAACGAATTAAGAAAAAATTTTATTCTTTCGTGAAATTTTAATAAAAATATGTAATTGAATTTTTGCAAAGATTTTACTATTTAAAAAAATAATTGAATTTTAGCCAAAAATTTTACTATTTAAAAAAATAATTTAATTGTTTTGAAAAACTTTAAAACAAATTAAGAAAAAATTGAATTCTTTGTTGAAAGTAATTGAATATTTGCAAAAAATTTTACTATTTATAAAAATAATTAAATTCTTTCGAACAATTATATTAAAAATTTTTTTAAATATAAACAATAATACTTTATTATGTACCTACTTAATATTAAGTGAATTTTTTTAATTTTGATTATGAAATTATTCGAAAATTTATATTTGAAAATAAAAATAAATCAAATATCACATTCCGCGCGTAACATTTGCTAGTTTTTAATAATTTCTGAGAAAGTTTCTTGAGAATTTAATTATTTATTTAAAGAAAAATAAAGTTGACCGAAATTTTTTCTGAAATCTTTTTTGTTCTATTTAGTTCCCATTTTTTCTAATTGAAAGTTATAGAGTAAGTTTTGTGATAATATTCTTGCAAAAACCAATTTAGAAATTTATTGATTTTCTACACTTTTGCGTTAATATTATAAACACTTTCTATTTTAGAAGATAATATTTTTGATATCTTTTTGTAATATATGTAACTTTTTATATTTTTTTTATGGAAACTTTGTGAAAATAAATAAATTCTTTCGAGAAATTTAATTTAAATTGCATTGAGAAATAATTGAATTCTTATAAAAAATGTTAAAAATACTTCAATTTTATAATTCAATTCAAAATTATTTTGAAAATAATCGAATTCCTGCAAAGAATATTAGATTTGTTGAAAATAATTGAAATTTTGGAAATTTTTTCGATGGATTTAATTAATATTATATTGGAAATAATTCAATTCTTATACAAAATTTTATTAATAAATTCTTTATTTTTATATTAATTTTTTTATATTACATTTTGTAATTTTTGCAACTTTCTATAATTTTGATTCTAAAATAATTTAATTGTTTTAAAGAATTTTATGTTAATTTCGTGAAAATAATTAAATTCATTCAAGACATTTTTTAAAATAATATTGAAAATAATTGAAATCTTAGAAATTTTTTCGACGAATTTAATTAAAATTATATTGTAAATAATTCAATTCTTATAGAGAATTTTATAAATAAATTTTTTATTTCGATAACATTTTATATTAATTTTTTTATATTACATTTTGTAATTTTTGTAACATTCTATAATTTTGATTCTGAAATAATTTAATTGATTCGAAGAATTTTATGTTAATTCTGTGAAAATAATTAAATTCATTCAAGACATTTAATTGAAATAGCATCGAGTATAATTGAATTCTTATAAAGAATTTTTAAAATAATTGAATTCTTTTCAGAAATTTTTTAAAATTATATTGAAAATAATTGAAATCTTGCAAATTTTTTCGACTAATTAATTGTATTGAACATAATTCAATTCTTATACAGAAATTTATAAATAAATTTTTTATTTTTATAACACTTTATATTTATTTTTATATTACATTTTGTAATTTTTATAACTTTCTGTAATTTTGAATCTGAAATAATTTGATGGTTTTGAAGAATTTTATGGGAATTTTGTGAAAATAATTAAATTCTTTGGAGAAATTTAAATGACATTGAATCGAGAATAATTGAATTTTTATAAAGAATTTTTAAAATAATTAAATTGTTTCGAAAATTTTTAAAAAATTTTATTGAAAATAATTGAATTCTTGCAAAGAATTTTATTACAAATTCTGAAAATAATTGAATTTTTGCAAATTTTTTCGACTAATTTAATTAAAATTATATTGAAAATAATTTATCTTGGAAGAATTTTATTGAAATTGAATTTTTGCAAATTTTGAATATGAAATTATTCAAAAATTGAAATTTAATTGAAAATTAAATTAATTTATTTTTTGAGTTTTTAAATATGTAATTAAATAAAATAATAAAATACCAACCGGTTTATTAGAATTCAATGTCGAAGTCACTGGATCCCAGGAACGTTTCAATAAAGAACCTAAAGTCTCCCAAGTAACTGGACCACCTTTCCCATTAATATTCGTTTGTACAGCGATCATTTTATCAATGAGCTGTGGAATGATCAGTCTTAATGTTTGAAGTATATCTAAATAAATAACCAGGTACTCTTGTGGAAGATAATCAAATAATAAACAATGAATCCACTGTGAAATTCTAATGTCCCATCCAATTGATGCCATTATTTCGCGAAATCGTTTAGCAGCCGTGTCAATGGATGTTCTTCGAAAAACTGGTTCCATTACGTTGCCAGTTTTTGCAAGTCTCGCCAATCTTTCTGCAGTTAAAACTCTCACGATTTTTGCGAAGACACGAATTTGAATTTGACTCCAAAATGTCTTATCAATTTTCTCCTCCCATTCTGTGTCCTCATCGGGTCGCACAAAATTTGCCAATCTTTGCAATTCATCCATTAGATGTCGTGTTCTTCCCAAATCAAATGGTGGCGATGATGATTGATTGTTGTTGTAGTATTCGACGTCAACTTTCTCTTCGGATTTCTGTTTATCACTGATTATGGGAAAAAGTAAATTATTTTTTTTTTTTAATTAGTATTATTTTATATTTATTATTTATTATTTTTATCTTTTTATTTTTTGAAAAAGGAAAAGAAAAGAGAAATCAAAATTTATACACACCGATAAAATAGTGAAACTTATTCAGTATAATTTATAAACTGGATTAGAAAATTAGTTTAAAACTGAAAACGTTTAAAACATTTTTTTAAAAACCCCTTTAATTGCATTTAATTGTTTTATTTTGTTTTATTTACAAAACTCGTAACTATGGTTTTTCTAGTAAATTTTAACTTCTACCTTCACAGTATAAGTGTTTTTTTGTTTCAGAATTCCACTTGTGACTATTTATAAAAATCAGTTGTTGATTATTTGTTTTCAATAACGAAAAAGTAAAATACCAACATTTTTCGAAAATAAAAATAAAAAGTGACAGGTTAATATTAAATAGTTACGATAATATTAAATTAAATTAAATTATTAAATACTTACGATAATATATGGTTTTTTGTGAAAAAAATCTTTTTTATGGGTTTCACGTAAACATTTTCCGGTTTCCAATTCCAAGGTCGGGCGTAACAATGATCGCGAACAATAACGTCTACTTCGAGTTCATAACAACCGGCGAGTTGATGTAAATAAGTTGTAAACCGATTTGGATTATCATCAATTATTTCTCCAGTGGGACTTGGTAGTCCTGGATTTCCTTGTGGAGTGACTGTTGCTCCTGATGTTAACAACATCTTCATGAAATTGTCCTTTCCGGAATTTTGCTTAACAACCTCTGCCATTTTTTAGCTTTTTCTTATACTGGAAAATAGTCATTTACTTATTATTTATTTGGAGAACGAAAATAAAATATTTACTTGAAAAATAAAACTAAAATAGAAAAGAAAACTTAGAAATAAAACTAAAAATAGAAAAGAAAACTTAGAAATATAAATGAAATATTTACTTGGAAAATAAAAAAAAAATATTTAGAAAATACTAAGAACAATTTCGGAAATAGTTCAAAAAATGAGAAATTTTATTTATTTATTTTTGACTACTAACAACACCTCTTAATAACCCAGTGATATGTAATAATTAAATATTTTTATATTTTGTACTGATAATTATATACCGAGCCAAAGAATTATAGTTTAAATAATAAAAAACAGTTTGTAACGCTAAATTCATAAAAAATAGAGCTTATATTATACAAAATGGCAATTTTCGATCAAAAAATGCAAAAGAAACAAATGAACAATCAAGTAAATTCTTTCGACTAATTTCTAGTGTTTGTAAAAGAGTTTACTTTATATAACTATGATAACTATGATAAAAAAATTACATCATAAAAAAAGATTGCGAGAGTTCATCAACATAACCTAAAAATCAAGAAATCTATTATTTTTCTCAGTTGGAAATATTTGATATTAGAATTAAAGCTGAAAACACCAGCGAATGTTAATATTTTTATAGATTCATTTAGCATTCCTACCTTATGAAATTGTTTAACAGAAAGCTTTGTACTTCATTTTTTGGTAAAGACGCACTAAACGAAATGCTTTCGCATCTCAGGTGGAATCATTTTTATGCACCATTTTTACGCGCACTTGTTATACTTATACACCATTATGCACATATCACTGTAGGATATGAGGAGAATTTAATTTTATATCAATAAAAGTAGAATATTTTTTCTAAATTGAAAATTCAGAGGGAAAAAAACGTGGCTGCAGGCAAACAATGAGATGAAACTATTGTTCGCAGTCTAACGCCTTCTCTTTTCATGTTCGTGAATAGTTAGAGAAATATCATCTAGACATTTTTGTATTTTGCTAAATATTTGTGATTTTGTGATTTTATTCGAATTACGTATAGGTAATTTTGAGTAAATAGTTAAATATTAGAGGAAAAGTAAAAGAGAGTGTAACAGAGTGCTGAGAGATTTAATGCAGACGATGCAGACGCTTAAAGATTACTGAAAATTCTCCAATCGTATTCGTTCATTTCTTCTGGACCCAGTCATACAGCCAATCAAAAATAAGGATTCATTTCCAATGATTTGTTTTGCCCGTTTTGCCGTAATGCCGTTTTGGTGTCATTCAATAATTTAATTCCAAGAAGAGCAGTAGGAAAAAGCATTCACATAATTTTTCCGCATACAAAAGAAACAAATGTTTGAATAATTTTAATCTCTTTTTTACTTTGATTGTTAATCAAATAAAGTTAATAACACTCCTGACGTTTATTACCCATTAAATTTAAGGTGAATTACGGAATTAGTCATTTGTATAATTGTTTTTAATCTTTATTATGCCGGGAAAGTTTACCGAATTTTTCAGAAAAGTTCTATTTACTAACCGAATATTCTGTCAATTATTTAACGTACAATTTTGATTAATTTTGTGATATTCTTTTGTAGAAATGATGAGAAATAATCAGGAAAGATGATTGTTGCCAAAGAAGCTGAATTTTCAAGAGGTTTTTGGTTAGAAATTTTATTTCGAGCATTCCTGGCTGTGATATTTTTGTGAGTATTAATATTTTTAAATGATTTTTTCTTTTATTTTCAGTTTCAATTTGTAAGACTAGCTTTTATACTGTACTATATTGTAATAATTAATTGTATATATATTTTTTTTTGGTAAATGTTCGTAATTTTCAATATTGTAAAATAATTAGAACCATATGTTTCCTTTTGCTGTCGTTGGCAAAATTGCGATAATTTTTGCAATTTTTGTTAATTATTTTGTATTCAAAATTATGTTTATTGTTAAATATTAGATTTATGTTTGTTATTGAATATTTTATTTATAATTAATATTCTCATATTTTATTATTTATATTGAATATTTCATTCAATGATTATCGGTAAATTAATTTAAAAATTTTTAAACATTATTATTGAATATTGAATATTTCTTTTAGGAAGCTGGAAGATGCAGAACCTTTTGAGAGGAAAATTCATCCTGAAGAATTGTGGTTGTACAAAAATCCCCAAAAAGAGGATTATGTACCAACAAATGTTTTATGGGTAATTTTTTATTTTTATTGTGGCCTTGAATGGAACGAGGCTTTATTGTTATTTATTTTTAGTTTAATTTGTTTAATTTGAAATATATTTTTTAGCCTCTCGTCTTCATTCCACCATTTGCTATAATTGTGATTACATTCCAAATAACGAAGGATAAGTTTGATCTTCGTCAAGGAGTCCTTTCTTCGACACTAGCTCTATCTTTAAGCGGAATAATAGTAGATATTTTAAAATTAATTGTCGGTGAGAAAATTCAAAATTTTTTACTAAAATAATACATTTTTGACGATATTTATATATTGGAATATTTTATTCTTTAGGTAGACCGAGGCCAGATTTTTTCTGGCGTTGTTTTCCTAATGGAGACACAAATTCAGAATTAAATTGTAATGGCGATCGTGATGTTATAAAGGAAGGCAGAAAATCATTTCCAAGCGGACATTGCTCGTGTAAGATTAATGTATTTTTGATATTTGTCCATTTTTATATTTTACTCTTTTTTTATAATTTATTTTTATTCAATTATTCAATTTTCCTATACACTATTTATTTATTTTTTGTATTTATTTGTAGAAAATCAACTCCAATGGAAAAAACTATTTATTTATTTTAAATTACTTTTTTATTTTTTGATTAATCAAGTGTTTATTATTTTTGCAAATATTTCAGTTGCGTTCGCTAGTTGCGGATTTATTGCCTTCTATCTAGCTGGAAAATTACGCACATTCGCAATTAGTGGAAAGGGATATTCATGGAATTTGTGTGCATTTTTAATTCCATTGGGAATTGCACTTATTGTGGCCTTGAGTCGAACTTGTGACTATCATCATCATTGGCAAGGTAACTTTTTGGTAATCTTTAAAAAAAAAATGTTTCTTGTGCTGCAATATGAAAGAAAATTTCCTTAAATTTAGCGTCGAAAATTTATTTTTGAGATTATTTGAGACCAAAATGTCACTAATTTCTCCTTTTTGGTTTCGATTTCGTGTGGAAAAAATATTTTTTGACACTCAGTGTCGACGCCAAATTCAAGGACCTAAAAGAAAGCAGAAGAAAAAGAAAAATAATAGGAAAAATACAATACAAAGAAAAGAATAAAAAAGAATATAATTTTCCAGATGTCTTAATTGGATCTCTCATTGGATTTGGAATTTCTTATCTTTGCTACAGACATTACTATCCATGTTTAGATTCGCAATTTTGTCATCGACCGTATTTAATAGCCGTTAATTGATCAGTAATTAATTTATTATTTATTTTAGATGAACTAATTTATTATTTATTAGATATGAATTAATTTATTTAGTATTAATTAATTTATTAGATATTAATTAATTTATTTGATATTAATTAATTTATTTCCTACTGTGTGATAATTTTTTCAGTCCGAAATGTTTCAGTATTTATCATCCAAATATATTTAAATATGTGAGTATTTTTAATGAGAATTTGAAATTTGACACGCTCCGAAGAACTTGGGAAATAATTTTAAGGTTATGTTTGTGTTACTTTTACACCTTATTTAAAAGATTCGGGGTTTAATTTTCAACTAAAATCGATTTTATTAATTATTTTAGACGTAACAAAAAATAATATTAGTAATTTACATTGAGAGTTGATCTCCTTTTGTATATTTTCATATTCTGGAGATTTCAAACATAACCTAATTTTTTACTTCTCGTTTCTGCGGAGCGAGTCACAAATATTCGACTATTTTTCAATAAATAAATTAAGGTACTAATTTTACTTAATATTTTATTAGTTTTTCCAAGAATTATAAAAGTTTATATATTTATTGTTCTATATTTAGAAAATTATTTCTATATTTTTTAGTTTTCTGACGAAATTTCGTTTATGATTTTTTAGCATTGAGTTAAATGCGTTAAATGCTATCTGAATGCTATGATATTCATTATTAGTTAATGGACATTATGATTAGTTTAAAAAGTCATAAATTATCGGAAAATTTTGAAAAAGCTTTAATTAAAAACTATATTAATAATTATGCAGCGAAAAAGTTATTTTATTTTAAAAAAATGTTATATTAAAGAAAGAAAAGTTAATTTTTGTTTTCCGAGAGTTTAAATTTTGGCGCCTTTTTTCCAATTGAAAACAGCACAATCTGACGTGAAACTTGGAAACTAGACTTGACTTTTTTATCGTCTTTCTTCGATTTACCAGAGCTGCCAGACCTTCACCAAACGCAACTGCGCTTGCGCGACAAAAATGCTTCTATTTGTAGAATAAAACTTGTCCATCTAAAGTACTTTATATGTATAAATATAAAATGTTTTAAAAATGCGCGGTTCATTTCGCCAACAAGATCATTTTTGTAGTGCAAGCTAAGTTGCATTTGGTAAGGGTACTTCTGATTAGAAGGTAATTTTGTAAAAGAAGAAATTGAAATTGTTAAAAAAAAAGTTTAAAATTAAAGTGAAATGTTGAATAAAGTTAAAATGTTTTGAAAAAATTAAAATTTAAAAATTACACCGTTAAACTGAAACTAAATTATAAGTAAAAAAGAGAAAAATGATTTAAATTTAAAGAAATAAATGTCTTTTACAAAATTACCTCCCCTCCTATTATTGATTATTTTAATTTATAAAAAAAAACACAAATGTGCTTTTGTTTTTATAAAAAATTTGAAAAATTCAAACAATAATCAATAAAAGAAGTAGCAAGTTTTTTAATTTCTTAAAAAACCTGGTATGCCTTTTACAGGCTGGTTCGGATCTCAAGAGATCCCTGGTATGTACAATGGCAAAAAGCCATCACCACCAGGACCGAATAATGTTTTGTTAAATTATAACCGCAATTAAGCACTATATTGTCCAACGTAGAAATTTGTATTTCCGGTTGTTGAGGTTCCTCCTTTTCAATGTCCTTGAAGAGATTTACTTAGTGCTGAAAAAGAGAAAGTAATTACAAATTAATTAATTTTTTAATGTTTTCCATAAAAAAAACTATTTTTTAACTATTTTTTAAATATAATTTTTAAAAAACTTACATTTAAAAATAAATGTTGAAAGTGATGGGAAAAATTATTTCTGTAATACAGCTTTACGTCCGTTTGCCTTAATAAGGCTTTGCCGTAATACAGCTTTACGTCCGTTTTGCCTTAATAAGGCTTTGCTGTAATACAGCTTCACGTCCGTCTGCCTTAATAAGGCTTTGCTGTAATACAGCTTTACGTCCGTCTGCCTTAATAAGGCTTTGCTGTAATACAGCTTTACGTCCGTTTGCCGTAATACAGCTTTACGTCCGTTTTGCCTTAATAAGGCTTTGCTGTAATACAGCTTTACGTCCGTTTTGCCTTAATAAGGCTTTGCTGTAATACAGCTTTACGTCCGTCTGCCTTAATAAGGCTTTGCTGTGATACAGCTTTACGTCCGTCTGCCTTAATAAGGCTTTGCTGTAAAACAGCTTTACGTCCGTCTGCCTTAATAAGGCTTTGCTGTAATACAGCTTTACGTCCGTTTTGCCTTAATAAGGCTTTGCTGTAATACAGCTTTACGTCCGTTTTGCCTTAATAAGGCTTTGCTGTAATACAGCTTTACGTCCGTCTGCCTTAATAAGGCTTTGCTGTAATACAGCTTTACGTCCGTCTGCCTTAATAAGGCTTTGCTGTAATACAGCTTTACGTCCGTCTGCCTTAATAAGGCTTTGCTGTAATACAGCTTTACGTCCGTCTGCCTTAATAAGGCTTTGCTGTGATACAGCTTTACGTCCGTCTGCCTTAATAAGGCTTTGCTGTAAAACAGCTTTACGTCCGTCTGCCTTAATAAGGCTTTGCTGTAATACAGCTTTACGTCCGTTTTGCCTTAATAAGGCTTTGCTGTAATACAGCTTTACGTCCGTTTTGCCTTAATAAGGCTTTGCTGTAATACAGCTTTACGTCCGTCTGCCTTAATAAGGCTTTGCCGTAATACAGCTTTACGTCCGTTTTGCCTTAATAAGGCTTTGCTGTAATACAGCTTTACGTCCGTCTGCCTTAATAAGGCTTTGCTGTAATACAGCTTTACGTCCGTCTGCCTTAATAAGGCTTTGCTGTGATACAGCTTTACGTCCGTCTGCCTTAATAAGGCTTTGCTGTAAAACAGCTTTACGTCCGTCTGCCTTAATAAGGCTTTGCTGTAATACAGCTTTACGTCCGTTTTGCCTTAATAAGGCTTTGCTGTAATACAGCTTTACGTCCGTCTGCCTTAATAAGGCTTTGCTGTAATACAGCTTTACGTCCGTTTTGCCTTAATAAGGCTTTGCTGTAATACAGCTTTACGTCCGTCTGCCTTAATAAGGCTTTGCTGTAATACAGCTTTACGTCCGTTTGCCTTAATAAGGCTTTGCCGTAATACAGCTTTACGTCCGTTTTGCCTTAATAAGGCTTTGCTGTAAAACAGCTTTACGTCCGTCTGCCTTAATAAGGCTTTGCTGTAATACAGCTTTACGTCCGTTTTGCCTTAATAAGGCTTTGCTGTAATACAGCTTTACGTCCGTCTGCCTTAATAAGGCTTTGCTGTAATACAGCTTTACGTCCGTCTGCCTTAATAAGGCTTTGCTGTGATACAGCTTTACGTCCGTCTGCCTTAATAAGGCTTTGCTGTAATACAGCTTTACGTCCGTTTGCCTTAATAAGGCTTTGCTGTAATACAGCTTTACGTCCGTTTGCCTTAATAAGGCTTTGCCGTAATACAGCTTTACGTCCGTTTTGCCTTAATAAGGCTTTGCTGTAATACAGCTTTACGTCCGTCTGCCTTAATAAGGCTTTGCTGTAATACAGCTTTACGTCCGTTTTGCCTTAATAAGGCTTTGCTGTAATACAGCTTTACGTCCGTCTGCCTTAATAAGGCTTTGCTGTAATACAGCTTTACGTCCGTTTTGCCTTAATAAGGCTTTGCTGTAATACAGCTTTACGTCCGTCTGCCTTAATAAGGCTTTGCTGTAATACAGCTTTACGTCCGTCTGCCTTAATAAGGCTTTGCTGTGATACAGCTTTACGTCCGTCTGCCTTAATAAGGCTTTGCTGTAAAACAGCTTTACGTCCGTCTGCCTTAATAAGGCTTTGCTGTAATACAGCTTTACGTCCGTTTGCCTTAATAAGGCTTTGCTGTAATACAGCTTAAGTTGGTCTGCCTTAACAAGGCTTTGGTACTATTGCTTACCTGTAACACAGTTGAGCATGAAGTGCCAGTCTCGTCTCGGGCGCCTGCTTATATACCCGTGTCCCCACCACTTCGAGCGTCCCCACCAGTGCGCGCTTGTACTACTAGCGCCGTGGTGATGTACAAACTATTTCAAGCATATTTTCGGTAACTCGTACCACGAGTCGATAATGCAGAAAGTGAAATTACCTATAGTTGTGTCAAATTTCAAAATAAAGAATTTGTTGGTAAAGCAGTTTTGTTTTGTTTACGATAATCTGTGCAGAATGGAATATACAAACGTGTTGTATAATTAATTAAGATAAGTATTGTTTTTTAATGAATAAATAAATAAGTAAATAAATAGTTTAATTATTTTAATGCGAATTAATTTTTTTTTCAGGTTTAAATTATAGGTGCAATATATGACAGTAAGGAGAAGAAGAAAATTAAATTGTGCATTGAGGTTAGTTTTAGTTTTACTTTTAATATTATAAATATATATAATAACATATAGTAAATAACAAATAATTAATTTATTAATTATAAATAACAATATTAAAAAAAAAATTTATTGAAATTTATGTTTATCAATATAAATCTTGATAATCACACAAATTAATATTAAAGGTATATTGAAATTGTTTTTATTTTTTAGGTTAAAAATTCCAACCATACGTCAAGTCATAATAAATTTGACACATACCATAAGGGAACGAGCGACACCAGTTCGGAAAATTAATTAGGATAAATATTGTCTTGGAATTTTATTTTGAGGTTAGTTTTAATGTTTAATTATTGTTTATATAGTAATAAATAGGTATATTTTTTTCTCTTATTTTTAACTCTATATGTAGGCTTCTCATGGAAACATTGTTTTATTGAAAATTTTTTTTTAAATTTAAAATTAACCTTAGAAGAATAGAAAATGTTGACAAAGAAACCAAAGAAATTACAGTTCCTCTACGGATGACTTGTCTAAACAGATAATGATTCGCTGCTTTTTTGACAAGATGGTTACTAAAATATTATTTTGAATAATTTAGCCCATTTGCTGAAAAACAATTTCTTGGATAAACTCATTTTATTAAGTAAACGTTTGTGTAAAGCCACATTATATCGAATGACATTTATATGGATTTAACGTTTGACATAATTTGTAATTTTGATCAAATTACATTTTGGACTTTTTTAACGTTTTAAAAAAATGCGCGGTTCATATCATTTTTGTAGCGCAAGCGCAGTTGCGTTTGGTGAGGGTACCTGGCAGCTCTTCGATTTACATCGGTTGTGTTCGGTCCGCCTGCTTGGATACTCTGGTTGACTGGTGTACTGGTTTGGTTGAAGGCGAGTAAAGGCAAATTTTTCTCTTAAGAATACTGTTTAATCCACTCCTCCTCCTCAATATAAAAGCAACTAAACAAGACTTATTTATAATCGAGAGAAAAAGAAGTCTTCTATTTTCACAAAAATAAGTTAACCAGTACATCCATGTCCAAAGTTTAAATATGACAATTGTTTTCGATTTGTTGTGCTAGTGAAATGGTGCATCGACTTCCTGTGCATGGCGAAGAGCCGTAAGCGTCATTCTTCGTGTTAGGCAGTCCTATATATCAGTGTGTGTCCGGTTTTGTGTTTTTTTCCCCTATATATATATTTATTTGATCTCATTTCCCGCGAAATTAAACGACCAACGAGTGTGCCGTCCAAAAAATCAGCTACAAATTTGTGCAATTCACGCCCCTTTTAAAAAATGATGAAAATGGAAACAGATAATAAACACGAGGACTCAAGCAATTTGCAGGTGCGCAAACCAACTAATATAATTTTTCCTTCTCAATTCTCTCTCCTATACCCGCCATCTTATGTTTCGTTACAATACAGAAAATTTGTTGTAAAAATTTTTATTTTTCTTCTTTGGGGAGGGAATGGAAAAATTTTCATACAAATCATTATGGATTTCCTGATGAAATTTATATTGAATAAACAAGAGTTGTTTTTGGAGTAGTTTTGAATTTTAAATTTGCAAAAAAAATTGTTTTAGGAGGTTATGACTGTGGTGTTTTGAACACATGACGATATCTATATCTAGTGAATAGAAATCAGAACATTTATTTTAGCTGAAAATTTTGCAATAATATGACTGATAGATGGACAATGACTAAACGTCAACGTTCAGTTTCTGATATGCTCTTGGTGTTATATTTAGCGGTACATGCGCCACAAATATTAGTCTCGGCTGAGATTAAGAACAGAGTTAAGATAACATTTTCTTTTCCATAATTATTGAAATAATTTATTTAAAATAAAAAATGAAAAATGTGAGAAATCTTTGCAAATGGTTAAATTTCATAATTGTGTGAATTTCCGATCGTTTATCTATCCTTTAGTTTTCTTTTCAATGCGTATTATTGATTATACATTTTCTTGTTATACTGATTTCTCTGTTTCTCATAAAACTTTCGACCGTTTCGACAAAAGCTTTGGATTTGAGAATGATTACCTACCTCATTTTACCCGGAATTACAAATTTACCTATTTTTGTATCTTTTCACAAATGTTTTCGTAACGAATTCGATTAGTTTCCGATCTGTAAATTTTAATTCTTTGGATTTAAATTTAATTAATTTAGACAAATTTATGAGTTTACAGGAAAATGTATTTGTGGGGAAATATGTAAATTTATCAGATTGTGTAGTGTAAACTGATTTCAAACGTGAGAGATGGTGTTTGATTATTAATTAAATAGAATGTTTGTTGAGGAGAATTTTAATTTTTTTTTTCATTTCAATTTAGTTCATAAATTGTGGGTAAATTAAATTTGTTTGTAAATTAGTAGATTGGTGTTAATTTTTAGCTTTCGGGTTGAAATTTTGTTGACCTCCTTTGACAACAGTAATATAATTATCAGCTTTACCGTTAGCTTTTTTTTTAAAAATTAGACTGTCAATTTCCAGCTCTCGATAAAATATTTTTAGTCTTTGATATTTTTTTTTTTTTTGCTTTAATGACACACGAACAAATATCTGGAATATGTCATTATCACTCTCGTCGACAACTAATTACCTAGTTTTTTTTCCTTTCAGTATTGTTTTTCTCTCGATTTCCCTTTTTTTTCATTGTTGACGCTTTGTTGTTTTTTTTCTTAAATTTTCCCATCCCCCCATAATAGTGAAATGTCTATTTAAAAGTAGGCCAGATATCGGATTCTGTATGGACGTATCAGTTTTATTAAATTCACCTCGTGCTTTTAAAAAAACGGTTTTTCTTTTCTACTTTTTTCTTGAATTGGGTTGAAGTAACGAGTTCAAAGCTCCGTTTTGTTGTCGAGTTAGTTTAGCATTTTGCAAATAACGTTATAAGCAGGGTTTTTAGAGTTAATGAGAATTTTAGTTAAAAATACTAAAAAAAAAATTGAATTTTGAAGAACCCGTGTGGAAATCTGCCCAAGTTAGCCCAGTTAAAAACTGGGAGCCAGCTGGGCCCCACCTGGGCTTCCCATTTTCATAAAAATATTAACATTATAATAGAAAAAGTCTGAAAATTAAATATAACTATTCACAATAAATCATTCTACAATTAATTCATAATAATAATAATCATTATTATTTTAAACAATTTATTATTGTCAATAATTATAAACTTTTATTGTACTACACTAACAGACATTTAGTTTTATTGAAATTTTAAAGTTGTTCCAGCTGAATTTATTTATTTAATAATTAACTCATCAAGGTATAACGGTTTTTAATACATTTTAATAATTGTTTAAACAAATAATTGTTGTTATTTAATAACTTTTGATACACATAACTTAGAAACTTGCAATTTTTTTTCCTAATTTTGCAATTAACTAATAGGAACGACATAAAATAAAGAAAATTTATGGTTTTAACAATTCAGAAATTGTTTAAACAAATGATTGTTGTTATTTATTAACTTTTGATACACATAACTTAGAAACTTGCAATTTTTTTCCTAATTTTGCAATTAAGTAATACGAACAACATAAAATAAAGATAATTTATGGTTTTAACAATTAAGAAATTGTTTAAACAAATTATTGTTGTTATTTATTAACTTTTGATACACATAACTTAGAAACTTGCAGTTTTTTCCTAATTTTGCAATTAACTAATGTAAATAGTAAATCATTCGGATGTTTTATGATTTTAATTTTAACAATTTATCAAATGTTTAAACAAATAATTGTTGTTATTTACTAACTCTTGACACATAGCATCTAGAAGAATGAAGTTTTTTCTTATTTTGCAATTAGTTAATCAGAGTAGTAGTAATTGTAAAATTAGAAAGAAACTGCAAGTTTCTGGATTGTTTGTATTAAAAGTTAATAAACAATAACAATTATTTGTTTAAACAATTTCTGAACTGTTTAAATCATAAAATACTGTTATTTCATACTTTTCAGATTAGTTAAATATAAAATTAAAAAGAAACTGCATTTTTTTAGGTGCTTTGTGTCAAAAATTAGTAAATAACAACAATCATTTGTTTAAACAATTTTTGAATTGTTAAAACCTTAAATTATTTTTATTTCATGTGGTTCGAATTAGTTAATTGCAAAATTAGAAAAAAACTGCATCTTTCTGGAAGCTAGTGTCAGGAGTTACTAATTAACAACAATTATTTATTTAAACAATAACGACTGCAATATAACATTAGTAAAATTTATTATATATAATAACAAAAATCGTTTACAGTGAAAATTATTAAATAGTTTAGTTTTTCTTTAACATTTAATAATAAAACTTTGATGTAATTATGGTCATCTTCGTACATGAATTGACAATTGACAAACATGTTAACATTTTACGGAAGCATTTTAGAGTTTGTCTATTGACCCACTCACGGTGGGTTCCGGTCAGGCGAAATAATATTATAAGTGGGCGTGAGCTGGGTCCTACCTGGGCTTCCCAGTTTTTGAGGACCCACATCAATAATTATATAAGCAAAAATTTCTAAGTCCAAACCTAAAAATTTTTTTTTCAACAAAAAATTAATGTTTATAATGACTAAGATTAAGAAAAAACGTGTTTTTAACAAAAATGTATTCACAATATTTTTTTTTATGTAATGTCCACATAATTAATTAGTAAAAATTTCTAAGTCCAAACAATTAAAAAAAAATTTTTTTTTAGACCAACAAATTAATGTTTATAATGATTGTAAACAATAAAAAACACATTTTTAATAAAAATGTATTGATATATTTTTTTCATAATAATATAAATATTATTTTAAGAATATTTATCGTTTATTATTACATTATTAATATTGTTATTATTATTATTAAACTATTTATTTGTCACGGTGTATTCGTATCAGTAAATGCTTTATTGAATCATTACAGCAGATCAACAAGTCACTGACAATAAAACGTCGGTGTTCAGTAGTTAGTCTCCGTAGTATAGTGGTTAGGGCGTTAGTCTAGTAGTCCGTAGGTCGTAGGTTCAATCCCCGCGTGCGTTAAATTTTATTTGTTTCTTAGGTTTGCGTTTATTCCGATTTTTCTGCATTGTATTCGTATAAGTATGCAATTTAGTGATTATATATACCGTTTAATAATTTAATTAACAAATTTCTAATTTTTTTATAAATTTTTAATTTATGAATGAAAGGATATATATTAATTCCCATATATATGCTAACATTATTTATGAATTTGCTTTTGGTCACAATTTCATTAAAAAAAGTAAAAATCGTTAAATAATAACGTTATTTATTTATAATTCGACTTATTTGTTATTAATAAACAATTTATTCATTAATTTGAATGAAAACTAAATCTATGGGCCCCAGCTGGATTTTTCCTAGGTGGGCTGTGGCTGGATTCACCGTTACAAGCCAAGGAATCGCCCACCTGGGCCATCCCTGCTGGGACCCACCTAGAACCTGGGAAGCCCACCTGGGACCCACCGTGGGCCCACCTCACTTTTCCACACGGGAAGTTAGAAATAATTGCAGAAATTCAATTATTTTCAAAAATAATAAAATTCTTCGCAGAAATTCAATTATGTATATGTTAAAAAATTGAAACAAATTTTAATTCTCTTTATAAATAATAAAATTCTTCTTCAAAATTCAATTATTTTGAAAAATTTTAATAAAATTCTTGCCAATATTTCAATTATTTTCAGAAATTTTCCCCAATTCAATTATTTTCAATAAATGATAAAAATTTCAACAGGAATTCAATTATTTACAAATTTTTTATATAAATTTCTTCACAATAATTCCATTCTTTTTATAAATAATAAAATTCTTTTTAGATTTTCATAAATATAAAAATTCATCGCAGAATTTCAATTATTTTAATAAATTATTTATTTTTGTATTTAAATAATTGAATTCTCAATTCTAAATTTTTAAAAATTTTCGTCAAAATTTTAATTATTCTTATAGTTAAAAGTTTGAATAAAAGTCTTGGCAAAATTTCAATTATTTTAATAAAATTTTCCAAACGAATTTAATTATTAAAAAAAATTTTAATAAAATTCTACGCAAACATTTAATTATTTCCATAAATAATAAAAATTTCACAGGAATTCAATTATTTTCAAAGTTTTTATCATTTTCTTTGCAACAATTCAATTATTCTCATAATTATAATAACATTTTTTCAGAGATTCAATTATTTTTCTAAATAATAAAATTCGTATTAGGAATTCAATTATTTTCATAAATAATAAAACTCATCGAAGAATTTTAATTATTTTTAATACAATATTTTAATCGAATTCCTTAAATAAATGTAATTATATATTCTGAAAAATTTTATTAAAA